ACATAGCCGCTATGTAGAAACGATCTCCATTTGTTTCCGCTTCCTCGAAACCGTATATATTCCCCGGGAGGGTGGTTGTTTCCCGACGAGCTCTGGCTGTTTCAAGCATTTCTACGATGATCTGATGTCGACTAAAGGGGTAAAGGTTTCAAAAAGGTTGGTTTTCATGTAAAATAGTAATACTAAACCTACAAGTTCGGTGTTTCAATAAAAGGAGAAACAAATCATGTAACCGTTAACTTGGTAGTGGCACCCAAAAATACCTTTGGAAAATAAAATGTTCGCGTAAAAAACGAAAAACATTAGCTCAATAAATAATGCGCTTTTGGCTGTGGAGGTAATGAATTCTGGAGTATGAATTATTAAAAGCGAAGTTTCGCCAATATTTAACATATTCAACCCTCTATCTCCATATTTAACGGACGGAGAATTTCGGTTGTGTCAACATATTAATGTACCTGATTGCCCCATAAGGCTCTGTAAAATTCTTATGTTCCTCCCTAATTGGCAGTTATTTGGCAGTAAATTTTATAAGGTCCTCCCTTTAAACTTTGTTACAGACAACTGATCCCCCTCCAGTCTCCCTGAAAACCCTGTTACGGCCCAAACTTCCAAACCACCACCTCCCCCCCCTCCCGGAGTGAGAGAGTGGTCCTAAAAAAAAAAAGCAAAAGCCACTAACACTCACATGATCTCTCCGTTAGTGTCATTGGATGGCGATAAAGAAATCGTAATTGTTGTTGTCGTGACGTCAGCTTCCACAACTTGGGGACGTTTAGGTGGAGGTGGACCTGTAAACAAAAGAACAAAAGTAGAAGGATTAAATTTAACGTACAAATCCTTAGTTTTGCATATTCGTCCGTTTATCTGTCTGTAGGTCCTGTTTATCTACATGTATCTGTTTGTATATCTATCTCTCTGTCTATCTGTCCAACCGTCCCTCTATCTGTCTATCCGCCCCTGCGCCTGCCTGTCTCATTCCTTGCCCACGGCTCAAAGATTGAGCGAGCTGCTCGCTGACGCCTTTGCTGTGATGCAATGGGCCACAGTTCTACAAGCTGAAATTTAGTTCCAACATGTTCACACAAATAAACAAAATATTTTCGCATACGTTTTGATGGTCTTTTCAGCCACACACGATCACTTTCCGCTCCATATCCTTTAACTGTTTTTGCTTTCACATAGATACTATACTCTGTGCCAGGCTTCAACATAGCTATTCCAATCTCAGTACTCCGAGAAGTGTTTCCTGATACAATTTCGTGGTTATCTGTAAAGGAAGGGTCATATGCTCTTTTACCCTCGAAGTACACCTGAAAATCGAAGATATAAAATCTCAAAAAACAAACAAACAAACAGACGTAACAAACAAAAGCAAATCAGTAATGTTAAGTGTGGCGTAAGCGATTATAGGAAAATAAAATTGTTCTGAATCCTAAGAAAATGTAAACACTTAAACCTCAGGGTTCTAATGACTAGAAGCAAGCAGCCAGTCTTTAATTTTCTTTCTTTTTTTTTGTATTTGAAAGCTTACACCTGTCGTTACAGGAAAAAAAAGAGTAATACCAATCATCGATGGCAGCTGATGATCGCATCTTCAATCTTTAAAGCGTGCTCATCAACGGATCGTTACAGCATAACTCACCGTGTACATAGTGATAATTCCGTTGTGGTCTTTTGGATCCTTCCATGTAACAGTAACAGAAATTTCACCTTTTTCAAGTTTCTTAGCGACATCTCTAGGCTGACTTGGGACTGCAACAAATCATAACAATTGTTTTGAGAGCAATAAAGTACATCGCAGGATCAAGATGGGGATCGTTTGTGAATGGGTTAAATTGTTATCAGTGTGTATTCGCAGAATGGACGTACATGCCAATTGGAGGGAAAATGTGAAAGTCGCTGAGTAGTGGTAATGCATGAAATAGTAAAACAAAGCGGTCAAACGTCTGCGCATGTGCGTTTTTAAAAGAGAAGAGAGAAAACCGTCGACCAGGTTCATTCATTATGAAAAAGTAACGGCAATACCTCCTTCCTCTGTTCTTGCTGTGGCGTTTGCCATTTCCCCTGGTTTGACCGTGACGGCCTGAATTGTGAATGTGTAGTCCGTAAAGTACTTGAGATCTGATATCAGTTTGTTGTGTTGCTGCATGTTTGACTGCTTAAAAGCACTCTCGTTGATAAGTTTTCCAAACTGTAAGCCGGTTTCAGTATTGTAGATCTTTATGTAATAGAACCGTACAATTCCATTGGAATTAACAGGCTCCTTCCATGTCAGATCAACTTCATTTGCTGTTATGACCTGTGCCCTGAAGTCCTTTGGAGATCCAGGACCTGGGATGTACACAAAAATAAATAAAATTAATTATTACAACAAAAAAGTCGATCAGTTAAGAAAACAAGTGATCGTGCAACAAGTTATTTAATCGACAGAGTTCTTATCTCGTTGTTTTCGTTATCGTTCCCTACTCTTCGCAAGGAGTGCGCGTGTTCCAATTAAGGTTCAGTTTATCGTCCTTCTCCGAGAAAAACAGAATGATTAACCATTTGCAGACGTCATAGCCAAGGCAGCAAATCTCTTCAGTTACTTTAAGACCTTTTTACCAGGTCCATTGATTGAAAAACAAAACTGAGCTCTTGGATTACGCACGCGCTTATGCGTAGTACAGGAAGCGCAATGCAATATTGAGAAATCACCTTAAGTATATTTTACACACAATTTTGTCAAAAATAGCTCCCTTACTTCCAGCTTTTGGTTGTTGGCTCATAGATCTAGTAGACAAACCAACACCAGCAACGGTGTATCCAGCTATTCGAATAACATAGGTTGTAAACTCAAGTCCTGTTAGCTGATCTGACAGCTTATCAGGTCCAACAGTTTTGTTGTACTCTACTGCAGATCCATCTACCCTGTAGTAAATATAGTAGCCTAAAAGCTTTCCATTCCGTTTTTCTATAGGAATGGCACCCCAAGATATGTCCAAGGCAAGAGAAGAACTGGAATTGACTTGAAAGTTCCTTGGAGCAGCAGAAGGAGCTTTGAAAATAAACAAGCAAGTGCAAAATGTTACCAGCTGTCACCTTAACAACAAGAGGAGAAACAATATCATCTTGAGTTAATGCACACTAATTAATGGTTCCAGAGTAGAAATAAGTAGGAAGAAACTTACTAGATTTCCTTGAATAAGCATCTGGGTGCTCATTCAACATTTTGACTGAAGGGAGGGGTGCTAATCGAAAAGACGGCTCTTAATCAAGTGTGTGTGTTTGTATGGGGGGATCATTATTATTCTACTATACTGATTCTACTGTAATCAAAGCTTTAAACATTAAAAGTACAGAGGAAATAGCAACAAGTTTTTCTTGTATCCCTGTTCTTTAAGAGAGTGAGGGAAAAGGAGGGGAGCTCATTCAAGATGGGCACTTGTTTGACATTATGAACTAGGAAGTGGGAGTGCATTAGGACAAGGACACTTATTTAAGGAAAGATGGTGTTCAGGTCAAAACATTTTTTAAAAGCCATGGGGTGAATGTAATATGTAATAATACTGTATGAGAACCACTCTCACATCAGGATTGCAGTATAATTATGTATATCTATTTAACATG